CTATCGTATTGTTTCCTGAAATGGGAAATATATACACCTCAACTACAGATCTTGATGCAGTAATAATAAAGTAATTTTCATGTAAGCCCAGAGTCATGTCAAAATATTTCAAGTTCATCTGAGTTCCCCCCTAAAATCTGATAATACAAAAATATTTCCTTAAAAACAAGCTGGGCCATAGCATTTTTGTTGGTAGTTATCTAACCTGCTAAGACTTTCACTTTGACCAATTTTATTCTCATTTTTGGAAATACTGAAGGCAAACTCAATCTTCAGAACTGGTATTACTTTTCATTGTAATCCATTATAGTGATTACCCTTAGTCTATTGCATTAATTTTTTATTGCTCCATAACAAATCACCTCAAATTTAGCAGTTTAAACAACACCCATTTATTATCCCCCTGTTTTATAGCTTAGAAGTGCTCCAGGCTTGACTGTGCTTTTCTGAGGCTAAAATCCTAGTTTCTTGAACTTCAGGAGGGAGGGCCTGTTTTCTTGATGGCTCTTTACCAGCGACTACCTTCCTCCTGGAGAAGGTTCCTGAGTCACCTGGTTAGCTTCTCTTTTGCCCAAAATCAGAGAAAGCAATGTTTTTTAAAAGGCTCATATGATTAGATAAGACTCACCTAGAAAATCTCCCTCTTGATCAAAATCAACTGATTGGTAGCCTTGATGGATCACCCAAATCCCCTTGCCAGACACTTTATCATAAGCAGACATGTGGTACTCTGTCATCTTCTCAGTTCCAGGGTTGAGTCTGAAATCTTGGGTGCTCTCTTAAGATTCTGCCTCCAATATTCATGGTCATTATAAAGTCACTGTCACACAACTTTACTCTAAATGACCACAGACATATTTGTCAGGTTTTTAAGATTATTTGATTCAATTTTTTTTTTTTTTTTTTGTACAAGCAGTTGAACTCAGGGGCACTCAACAACTGAGCCACATCCCCAGCCCTATTTTGTATTTTATTTAGAGACAAAGTCTCACTGAGTTACTTAGCACCTGGCTTTTGCTGAGGCTGGCCTTGAACTTTCGATTCTCCTACCTCAGCCTCCCTCCCGAGATGCTGGGATTACAGGTGTGTGCCATTGTATCTCGCCTCAAAATGTTTTTAATTAGGTAAAAAGTTAAAATTAATTTGAAGTATTAAAGGATGGATAAATAATAAAAATTTTATTTTCCCAAAAGGCTCTTCACTGACTTAGTTACCTCCTTACCGCATCTTTTATAAGTCTTTTGACACCATCTCCCTTTCCTGTCTCAGCAAATTTTATCATTTCCCACAATAGTGGGCTTTTGTGATATTAGACTCCACCAGGAGTTAGGAGACGTTGACCTAATGCCAGTTCTGTTATTAACTAGCCAAATATTTGAGCAAATCACTTATCATAGATTCATGGGATTTTGGTTTTGAGAAGACTTTCATATTATCTCTGCCAAAAAATTACTTGAGTTTTAATTATTATACAAAGTCCTTGCCAAACTATGCTTGGATTTCTCCTCTGGAATCTCATTTGATCTCCATTATTAAAACAAAAACCTTCTCTTCATTTAATTAATAGCTACATTTCTCTAGTTTCAAATATTCAAAGAAATTGCAGTACTTTATCCATGCAGATTGCCTACTCCTCTTCATATGCCCGTCCTTCAGGTATCTGAAGGTTGCTAATGTATCTTTCTTCTGAGTGCTCATCCATTTATTCTTTCCTTGAGTTTTAACTGAATGCCAAATCTTTTGCTTGAGATTAGGGTACAACAGATACCCTAGGTCCAGCCCTCCCAGAATTAAGTTTCGAACTATTATCATGATTTATTCTCCCATTATTCCACCCTGCTGGCTTTTTTCTGGAGAAGATTTGAAACTGGACAAAATAATACTTTCTACCACCCTTGTTCAGCATTTGTATGTATGGGAGATAGACATTTTCTACAGGTCACCTCTTCAATGATTTCCTTGTTACTGGTTGCCAATATTCTTTCTGGCTTTAGTTTTTCAAAATCTAAGAAATCTGGACAGATTACATTCTAATTAAAGGGAATCATCTGTACTCCTTTTCCTAAATAAAGGAGATGCCAGAAATCACCTTTTCTATTTATCAAAACCTGAGAAGCATCATGTAACTCACTTAAATTATAAAGGAATTCCAGGAAGATATTTAGCACTTCCATTGTGCAATACGGTTCAGTCACCAGGTATTGTTGAAATATTCACAGCAAGCCATTTCAAGTTTAACTTGTGCTTTGATAGTTTATTCTCATAAACTGCTAAGAGCTCCATAAAAATAGAAAACCCACATAGGCAGTAATCTCCAGTTCTTGCTTTTCTCCACAGCATTCAAAGCAACTTCCTGTCCTCTAACCTTTAATTTAGCAGAGAAAGCCTGTCACAATAGAGCCATCTTTGTCCAGCTCTGCAGGCAGCTTCCCCTTTGGGTCACAGAATGCCAACTTCTGTAACAGACAGGTACACTCGGTATTGTTGTTCTGGGAGTGTACAAAGGACAGCCTATTTACCAGCTGGGAGAAAGAGGTGTGTATCTGCTCTCTCATGGAAACCTTCCCTGTAAGGCAGCACTGAGGGGCTAAGGCAGTGAGATGCTGCTCACGTACTTCTTGCGTGTGAGAAGCCTTAAAAATCTTTCATTCATAGAGGTTAGGAAAAGTGGAAAGGACTTGCATGTTAATTCATAAATCACGTAAGAAGTCATCATAAAATGCACTCTAGCTCTCTGGTAATCCAGGTAGGTATTTATGGCTTTATGATGCCAAGAGCGTTAAGTGAATAAAATTTTACAGAGGAGTAAATATTCTTTTCATAATGAAATTAACTCTTTCACAGATTTTCTCAGATGCAAATAGAACTGCAGGTGTCAAAGCAGGAAGGTGGAGAGGGGTCTGGGGATCTCTGGAGCAGAGGTGTGGGTGAAGAGTGCTGCTCTTCTCCTACACACACAGACCCTGCAGACAGATAGATCCCAGGGAGACTCAGGACGAGCAGGACACAGGTGATTCCTGAGATGTCCACTCCCTCAAAGGTGACTCGACCTGAATATCCCATCATAAATTCTTTGTCCCTGTCCTTCGTGTGTTTCTGTGGTTGTCTACCAGCAGACAGGTCGCAGCCTGGGTTCTGTCGGAGCACAGCTTCCTGGCAGTGATGTGCCCTGTCCTGTCTTCTCCAGAAAACACTGCATTTCAAAATGTAAACCTGCTCGCAACACTTCCCTGCTTGGCCCCTCTTCCACATCACTGAGGCACCCCGATGGAGCCCAGATTCTTTGGTGGGGTTGCCCACAGAGCCCTTCAGCTTCCTGATTCACCGCCCCTCCACCGTGGTGCTTTGATAAGATGGCATGCTATTTCTTTAATTCATAAAAGCTCATTCTCATGATTCCATGGCCTCCCGGATGCTCTTCCCTCTTCCTGAAGAGCCTGCCCTCCTGCCTGCCTGACACGCCAGGTGTCATGGGTTCCACCTTTGACCAGGTGCATGTGCCTCTTCCTCCTTTACTTACACTCAACTACACCTGGGCGACCTGATCTTGGGGCTTGGAATTTTTTGTCACATATTTGTTTAAGCAGGAAGGTGAACACCAGAGGACAGGTTTAGGAGGCTTTATTATTTCTCTATCATATTGGCGTTAATGAAATAATCAACTGTTTCAAACTCAATAAATAGTCAAGTATGGATCTAATAAATCAGTACTTTTTAAATGCTTTGCTGTAACAGGAATGAGAGACAAAGGAGGAGGAAAGTAAATAATAAAGTTTCACACCCATGGAAGCTATCCATTCCCAATGTTTCTGAAGATAAATAGGGTGAATATGGTTATCCTAAAGAAGTGTGTCCCAAGTGGCTGCCATTCTAGAATGTACTGCCAAAAATGGGGTGATCAACATTGAGTCTAGACTTTCAGCACCAGGGAAAAAAATGGTAAGACTTAGTAGGATTGACTGCACATCTTCTCTTAACCATCACAAAGAGCTTAACAGGCAATCACAGAGGGACTGTCCCTTTCCAATGGACACAAGCTCTGGAACGAGGGACCAGTGATTGATCTAACTACCTCTGTTTTTTCCTCTCCGACTCCATTTTCCTTTTTAATCATTCAGTGGGAGCAATTACCCCATGATGGAAGCTGAGGCTGCCCCCTGAGCAGGAGGACACATCTCATCACGGGGACTGAGTCGCCCTCCAAACAGTGATGACCTTCTCAAAGCTCCACAGCACCGTCTTGAGAGGATCACCAACCACACCATGGCCTGACCCAGACTCCACCTGCTGTGCCAATGCCCCCGTCGGTCAAGTCCCCAAACCTTGCCTTTCTTCACCTTTTTACAAAGCCTTAAAGTTTCTGTCAGTAGCTTGAAGACAAGTTTTGGTCACTGTCCTCCATATCTGCTCTCACCTGGCCACACTGACCAGAGCTCTTTTCCTGCCCATCACCATTGCTAGTCCCTTTGATTGGCATATGCATGGCTCAGCCTGATCTTTTGGGACCATGAGGGCCTGAACTTTCACCTAGGGTCTGTACTAACACTCCTCAATCCCGTCACCATTGTCCTAGCCTTTTCACACCTGTATTTTATATGCCAGAGACGCACGATTTTATAACCCTTGACCCTTTTCTCCACTAGTTTAAGTTAACACATAAACTGCGGATACTGACATTCAGAGCATAATTGTAATTATGGTTAGTACCCCAGCTCATGCCTAACACTTCCATCTAACTTTTGGAGACGTAGACTTACTTCAGACTATTGTCTCAGTTGGGTTATCAAGTGATCCCTTCATCACCTTCTCCATATTATAAATTATGATGCAGAAAGTTACATTGGATAAGGGAAGATAGGTTGCATTTCAAAATCAAAATAAAATGGTAGCTGTGATGGCATCCTGAGACGTGTCCAGCATGTCCAGTTGCCTCAAAGAGATGTCCACTCTAGACTATTCTCAAGTCAATCTTCAGGTCTAGGTTTCCTCTTAAGACTGACCTTGGATCGTGGAGGGGCTCGGATGTACCACTTGCAATCCACGGCCTCGCTGGCAGAAGCTTTGCCTTCCTTCAAAATTTGTATGGACTCCACAATTCCTTCTGGGCCGCCCATCTCAAACTCACATGCTAAATAATAAGATGCCAAACAAACACACAGAAATGGAGCTTGAATAATAAACCAAAAGTATATTTTATAGCAGAAAACAATGGCCTCTGAACATTATTAAATATCTATTTTACCAACCTGGTAAGGGTTTCAAAACTCCAAGGTCCTTAAAGTCAGGATCTTAAAAATTGAGAAAAAGACAATTAGTCCTATTCTGCATTTATTACTAACAAAGATGTTGATTAATTTACCACCAAATCACCCGGGAATCAGCCTAAAAAACATTGTAGGGGAAATTAAATGATAAAATTAAAAGTTCATGTTAATATTAAATTTATATAATGTTGCATGACTATTGTTTTTCCCTCAGTACAAAAGAAGCCATTAAAAAAATCCTCCAATGCCATTCATACATCCAGTCATGAAATACAAATCTCACTTATTCTCTGCAACACCATAATCAGACAATAGATGCTTTTGTAAGACACAGGTATGGGTAACACAAGGTTTGGATCAGCTGCATAACTCTACACAGGATTCTTTTGTCTGATTCAAATGATTCTATATATTGTTGAAACACAATTCTCACCTGAAATACTGGAAACACAACGTTAAGATTGAAGATGCAGGAACCTCTCCTCTGGCAGCGGAACTATTCTGTATTCATCACATCTTCATTTGGTGCCATGCTGGCTTTCAAAGTATTCCTACTTTGTCCACTCAACACCCACCCCCTCTCTCTTCCTCCTCTCAGTGGTCCCTGCCTGGCTTAGGCATCTGTCCTTCTCTACTCATTTATGTGTCTCAGAGGACTCTCACTTCAGTATGAGCCTCAGAAACATCGGTCTCATTCCCATTTCCTGGAATTGTTTTAAAGGTAGGTTTGTAGCCCAGGAAATATAAAGGCAAGCCTGTTAAAGGACTTATGAGGAAGTATTCCTCACATTGAGACAAGACACATAGTTTTTCTGACTCACATTGTAGTCACTTACTTAGGAACCACTGAAATCAATCAGGGACAGTGCCCAACTTCTCAGCTGGAGAGGAGCCATTGGGAGAAGTGCCAACTGATGAGGAGCAGAAGGGAGACATGGAACCTGGGTCCTTCAGGATGCCACTGAGCACCGTATTAACCTATTCTATCTTCTCTGGGCTTTTGTTTTTGTGAAACCACACTCGTCTTTATACCTTAGTCACTTTGAAATGGATTTCCTTTCACCCTGTGTGTGGCTAAAGGTGTCAATGACTATGATCTCCAGGTGGAGATACATTGTGTACAATGTAAAGATGGTGGTGAAGCAATGGCTACTGGTATTATAGTATAAACTCACATAGAAATCTTAGACAGTTGGAGATATTGTGGGAGGCACTGCTCAGAAATGACCCAAGAATGCAATAAGAAAAGGCACCAATCTTTCTCGGTCTAGATACTGATGAGATCATAGGAGTTCATATGTCCATGTAGATCTAAGTCTGCAGCTATGTGTTTCTGTGCTCACAGAGACACTAAACTTCTAAGGCATGCTGACCATGTTAGTTTAATGGTCTTCATTAAGCAATGTTCTTGCTCTTGTTTGCTTTTTGTTTTGTCAAACAGTGATGTGAACCAATCTGTACATACCTCCATGTGGATCAGCTATGCTACAGTCTGGTTATATCAACTATTTAAACACACTTAATTACAGAGCACTTGAAATGGAATTATAAATTTGGAATCAAGAGTCAAATTCTTGAAACTAACAAATTACTTTGTATGACTATTTTGAAGAGTTATTTTACTTTAGTGAGAAAAAAGAAAAGGAAAAAAAAAACAAAACCCTGAAAGCAATTTCCAAGGAATAGAATGCTAGTTTATTCAGAAGTGAGGACATATAGATAATATAGACCATGAAATTCCCTTATGGAAGTTTTTAAATACCCTAATCCAGTACATCATTTGTTATTCTTTCAATACATATTCATTTAATATCTACCCATGCAAGAAAAAAAAATGATTTCTATAAAACTACTCCTATGTGTTGATACCATTAAGGAGATTTTTTTGGTTTTAAAGAGTCCATGCATATTTTCCTCATTTTAATATCGATTTTGTCCACCACAGATATCTAAATTTTGGGTATGCATTATACCCTTTTTACTTTTTAGAATACTGTTTAATTGCATTCATTATTAATACTCATTATCAACTATGTTATTAGAACATTTGTCTTTGTTCTAACAGCTTTCTAACAGCTGTACACGGCTATTCCTACAATTTTTGTGAAAATGTAGTCCATATTCTATTTTCTAGTTTGAAGGCTAACATTTGTCATTTTTATGACTTATGCCAGACAATGTTGAGAGAAATGCCAGTTCTGGGAAATGAAAATTTATTTTTGTCTTTGTATTAATAGTGATAGTACTGGTAGTTTTTTTTTAAATAAGGAAAAATTTGTTTTTGTAATTCCATTTATATTAACCACCAGTAATACCACAATTATAAATGGCTTATTTGACTAGCAAAAGAATCCAAAATGTTTTGAAACTGCCTAAATTCAATTTAAGAATATAAAGTTTGATTGATTGTCTGGGTTATTTGGGGGCAAAGACAAATTATTATGGACATGTACAATAAAGTTGGACTTAAAAAAATAGCATTCTATCCCCTGGATGTTTCTCAAAATCAATTCTCTACAAAACTACTTTTAAAAATGCAAGTCAGTCATGGTACTCTCTGGCTTTCCATGTCCCTTAGAATAAGACCACATCTCTTCTTGTGTCCTTGTCCCTGATCACAGAGTCCCATGACACTGGGCCCGGTTCTCCTCTTCCATTCACACTGCCCATTTCTATTTCAAAGACACTCAAGATTGTTTCTCCCACAGCACTTTGAACTTGCTCCTTCTTCTGTCTTCAAGACTTTCTGCAAGTTCTGCATAGCTGAGTCTCTTTTCCTTCTTCAGTTGACATCTCAAATACTATATTCTCAGAAAGGTTTTCTTTGGTGATCCTCTCCAATCTAGTGCTGCCTCTCAGATTCTATTTTCTTCCTGGTTTTTAGTATACTTTATATTTGTTTTGCTTTTGTTTACTTTTTAACCAAGCACCCATTCCCATCAGCCAATAACAAAATCGCCTATTTCAGAGATCTTATCTCTCTTGATCCTCTCTCCCCAGGACCTGCATCATGGTTGATGCACAGTGAATACTATTGAATTCAATGTAATTCTCTGTATATAGAAAAATAGTTACTTTACTTATACTGATTTTCCTATATTTTTCTCTTTAAAAGCCAACTACTGCTTTTCCAAGGAAAAATGGGGAAGTTACTGAAACATCTTTTAGGGTAAACTATTGCATTGCTTTGGCTGAGGAGCACACACAAAGAGCTGTGAGACAGATAAGGTCATTTGCAGCTGCCATTGCTAACTGCGCACAGAATAAATACGAACAAAAAAATCCCAGAACACTGCTCACTTCCAACCAGATAATAATTCATGGATTGATGTTTTACTTTAATCAGGAGAACAGAATTGATATGTTTTCTCCAACCTTAACTTTTGTCTAAAAATGGATGGTTGTACAGACATAGTTGGGCTTCCTTATTTTAGCTGATCTGGACCAATCATTGAAGGTCATCCTTAACATGCATGCTGGACAACAAATACAAGTTATGCAGAAATATTCAGATTGCTGGCTAAATCACAAGTCTTGTGACTTTTACTAGAATTTCTGGATTTACATTTGCATTGATGGTGCAAAAACAATGTACTGGTGTCTTAGTAATGCATCAGGACAGCAGCACCAAACCGAAGCAGCCCATGCCCTGGCACAAGACCATGCATTTTCAGGGTTAGAAAAGATAAAATATTGTATTTCAAATCTATTTGATGATAGTTACTTTAATAACTATTTTAATATCTAACAACAACTATTTTAATATCTAAAGTCTTGAATATATGTCTTAATTTTATGTAGGATTAAACATTGATTATGAATAAGTCATGTTGCTGTAGGCTGAATTGTACAGTGGTTTATTTAAGATAAAGCACTTTTGTAATTGTTTTGATTGTGAACCAAATTGCTTGCTTTATTCAGGGAGCATCATTTCTGCTTAAAAGACAAAGTTATTCAGATTTGGGTATTTGGCAGACATTTTGTTGAAAATGAATAAAACTAATCTGTTGACTTTTAAGAAAAACAACTGACAATATTTGTTGCCAATAATAAAATTCAAATCAAGAAAACGTATTTGCCAGTGTGCACTTGACAGCTTCTCAACACTTAGAACAATTTTATTGAATGAGATTGTTGTTGGTACAAGCAAACAGTATCAACAGTTGGAAGTTCTGCATCAAGTGATGAAGAATCTGCCAAGGGAATAATCTATGTCACGATCATGCATGTATAAAAGGGCATTTGAAAAGAAAAACACGCATGGCTGGATTTTAATGTAACAAACACAAAATAATTCATTGATACTGTTTCACATTTCACATTTCAACTAACCTTTAGGAAAACTATCCCTTGCTGAGGCTTAGTGTAGTATAAAAGAATTAGTTACTATCTCTGAAGACTATAGCAAAATACTCTTCCCTTTACCAGCTATATAACTATATGAATTTGGATTTTCTTTATTTTCTTCTACCAAAACAACATATCATGCCAAATTCAAGGGATGAGCAGATGTGTGAATCCCCCTATCTTCTAAAAAGTCAGACATGAAATTTTAAAAAATGTTCCAATCAACATTTTAATATTTATTAACATCTTAATAATAATCAATGTTTTAATAAAATGTTGTGTATTTTAACACATAATTGATGTATTAGTACAATTTTATATGAATTAATAGTTATCTAAAATAATGTATTTATAATAAATAATAATATAATGTAAATAATAATAAATAGACAATATGGTGACTATTAAATAAGCCAGTTAGTCAAAGCCTTAAGAGAGCAAGGGGCCTTGAGAGCTGCCAGCTTCAGCACTTCAGCCCTCCACACTCATCTCCACCCTGGAGCTTCTTCCTGGAGAACCTGTTGCAATCCCATAACTGTGGCCAAGTCCATGCACTGATTTCAAAATTCAAAGAAGTTTCCATACAGCTAACCACAAGATAGATGGACTATCTGGAAATTAGTGTTGTATTGACTGACCATGACTGAATCCTATCAGAGGTATGTTGGTTTTAAAAG